TAGGTCTTTATAAACCAAAAACTCTTCCTCCCTCAGGGATATGTCAGGGGATGTGGTCTTTCCTGTCTCCTCTTTCTGAAAGCCTCAAAGCTTGTGGTATCTTATTAATTTCAGCATGTTATGTGTGATATTACACTGGCTACACATATGAAAAGGAAGTTATTTTCAGGATTTTATTTTTTCATTTTTAAAGCAGTTAAAACTTGGTGTCTTATAGGCACTTGGAAAGATTCTAGCTGATACAATTTTAAAAAAGAGAAAGGTCTCTTTTTAAAAAGGGTGATTATATAGAGTAAGCTGAAAGTGAGTGAGGACAGTTGTAACAGTTCCTAATATTGTATATTACTATACAAATTTAACATATAAAGGATTCTTCTTATTATTCTAAATTAGAACCAGATTTATGACTTTTAATAAGTTGTAACATTTTGAAAATCATAACAAAAGACTACTTTTCTTTCAGTTTTTTCTGTCATACCTACTCTCTTTTCCTTTTTTGGGTAATGAATATTATATTGGGATTTTCAAGATCTCTAGACAAGTTCTTGCTGAGAATTAAGTGCAGAGTAAATTAAGCCTTCCTCAGTTTTACTTACTAGCAAAAATTATTTTGGGACATTAAAACTTCAAGTTGACACACAATTCTGGGCTGTTATTACTACCACTTTTTGAACAGACACAGAAACTTTTTCAAGAACGAGGATATCTGTAAAAGTTATATTTTTTAGCTGCTTATCACAAACTACACAAGTTGATAAAATAGATATTAGATTGAAACAAAAATTAAAAAAAATCATTTAATTAGTACGTCCAGCCGTGAGTTAGAAATTACTTTGAACATTGGTTGTACAGAACGTTTATTGTAAGGAAAGAAATGTATTTTGTACAATTTCAAAATAAACTGACGCTTCTGAACAAGATTCTGTTTATGGATCTTTTCCTAAAGCACTTAATCATTGCTAACCAAGTGGAAATACTGCTCTGCCCACGTCCCCTGCTTTGAAGGACTTTAAACATTTTTTTAAATAGAAAGGAAGTGTACTCTTACACAGTGTATGCTACCCATTAGTGGGTGGAACCGGATCTTCCTCTGATATTCAAAGAAAAATGGGAATATGATCTCTCTGAACTTCAGCCAGTAAATGTAAGTAAAACCTGTGCTTTCTCTGAGGGTCCTTCTTGGAATCCCTCCCAAAGTTATTGCCATTAAGTATAGTTCATAAAGTATATTTTTCATTCTGACAGGTGCTCCAGCTTTGACCAGAGATCCGTTCACACTGGCTCTGATGTAGCCATCTCAAAAGCTACTTTTGCCAAATGATTTGGGGTTACACACATTTTCCAATTTGAATGGCAATGCAGACAGACTTCATAAATCTTGTACCAGGAATAGCTAGCTCTCCTTAACTGTATCCTTTCTCTACAGGCATGTGAGGCAACTGATCAATAAGTAAAACAAAAAACCCACTTATATTCAGCATTTTAACATTCAAGACTGGAATTCATTACGGAATGAATGGAAACTCCTCTTACAAGATAAATTGAAGGAAAGACTGATTCTGTCAAGGATATAATTTTCACTGTCTCCTTGATAAATATTTCAAGGATTAGATGCATTTGAATTTTCTTGTCTTATACTTAAAACTCTGCTTTGATTCAGAGACACTATTGTCCAGCTACTTTTAGTTTATATAATAAATGGCATCTCTCATGATTTCTTCTTTTTTCATCTAAATGTAATATGATGTGAAATTATATACAAAATGTGCATTACCATCTATAAACTGTATGTGTATATCTTTTATGCACTTAAAATGACTGCATTCTAGATGGTACATTATATTATACATGGTAACAATTAATAATGCATCATCTTTCAAAACTGATAGGCATTATCAGCTATAGTTGCGTCACAACTAATGTAAACTGACAATATATTAGGCTGACTAATTCCTAAAATGCACGAGAGAACCCGTTCTTCATAACTGTGTTCAGAGTACATCTAATTAAATATCAGTGAAAACCTAAAGTCAAAAACATGTTTCAACAAAATGATTTTCGATTTTTTGTAATAATTGGATGAATTAACTTTTTGTTTCTGTTTTACAATAGACTACTTTCTCAAGCATTGAAAAATACAAGAAAGAACAAGCATGTTTTTTGATAGAAGGAAGGAGTACACTGACAAAGGGAAGATAAGAGACTCTCCATTTATCTCAATCACCTGGAATCCTAGGAAGATCTAGCAAGCAAAGAAACTGAAAATAAGTAGCAGAAAAGATAGCAAAAAGGACAAGAAAAGACAGAAATCAATTACGCCCTAATTCACAGCCTTTGCAATCTCATTGTCTTAGATGGGGATGAACAATGTATACATAAGGGAGAATTTGGGCCAAGATTTTAATATGAATTTTATACTGTAAGTTTCACAAGAGGTGAGATAGCTGTATAGTAGTAAGACAATAAAACAATGGGAAGAGGTCTCCATGAAGCAACTATGTCTATAAATTATTTTTTTGGGGAAAAAATCCATTCTTTCTGATGCAAATGGAAATCCATCTACCAAGGGATGAAATGGAGATGAGCTGCTCTAGATTTGCCAGATAAAAACATTCAAGGGATGTGTTAGTTTACCAAAACCTTCTCTTCATTCTAAATATCTTTTTATGATGTCCATTTTGTAGTGACTAGCTTCCAAATAAAAATGTAATAATACTTTTCACATTAAACTTTTAAATGACTTATGGAAAATAAAGTTCAGAAGACAGTTTAGATCTTAAAAATGTGAAGAAAGGAAGAGTAATAAATGATGTTTGGAGTACACAGACTTTTGTAAATGTTATGGCAAACAGGCTGTTTTCTCAGGGTAGGTTTTTAAGTTTGATGTCTTCACTGATCATAGTGAGTGCACAGTAAATGTTAACACAAGCAATAAATACTAAACTGACAATGGTTTACTATTGGGTCAACATCTTTTGAGCCTTTTGTAAAGGATGTAGTTAGTTGATTAATATTCTGTTTTTTGTGAAGTGGGAAAATTGCTGATACTATATGGATTCTTACACTATTTACTTGTAAACCTCAGTGTAAAAAAAGATTTTAGTTCTGAATGAGCACAACACTATGATGGCTGATGAGAATTACACAGTGTTTACTTCTTGCAGAAGTACTGTAGCAAATCTTTTGCACAGATGTAGTAAACAGAATTTTTGGAATCCATTCTGGTAGCTGAGATGGTGCTTATGACTACGGGGGAAAGTTGTTATTTTAAATATCTTCTTCTAAGCAGCCAAGTCATCATCTTGAAGGTTTGACTGGATGGAGGAACCGTCTGATTTTTTTTTTATTGCTTTTTGTATTTTCCAGATGGAAATGAAGATCTGTGGATGAACAATGAAAGCCATAGTATTCTTGGTGCCTAGGCAACGATTAGGATTAGTTTGCTAGCCAAATACTTCTTTCAATACTTTTAAAATAAACTAATGTACCTGTGATAAAATAACTGTTTTTGAAAGAGATGGGGGAAAATACACCTGCAAATGAGATGGAAATGGAGCCCTTGAGTCTCTTCATGTAGAACAGGGAAATATCATGAGAACTCTATAGAAGATATATGTAAGATCTTTAGTAAACTTTCACTTTTGATCCAGACATTCAACTATTTTATGCAAATTTCTGAATTTTTCTGCTGAATACAGCTTTGACAACATTTGTTTTGGGAAGGCCATATTTTCTAAACTACCAACAACTGTTGCTGACAGTGAGGATTTGTACTAGACAGATTAGTTGGTGGTCCAGGTAGTTTGTTTATCTGAGGTGTGAATTATTTTAACAGAGACTGATATTTTATGTGGTATCTTTTATTCCGTAATTGGCCCTTAGTGATTCATCAACGTAGTCAAGATACAGATGGGCTCAAACATGTTCTCCCCGGGTATCAGTCTCACCTTCCCTGTCAACAAACCCAATATTGCTAAAACTAACCTCCAGCCATAAGATAATGACAGAGAACTCATCCAATACTGCTCTTGGACTGATCAGCAAGTAATACTCTTGAAGTTATATGAATCTCTCTGAATTCCCACACTATTCCCAGCCTCTGCTGGCCAGGGAAGTAAGAGACCAAACACATGCTCTCTTTCACAAGACAACATGACTTTGTTACCAGTTATGTTCAAGCACAATGTTCTATTTATATTTTCAGAGCTCTAAAATTACAGGGTTTGATTCAGGTGGATTCAGATGGAGCCTCAGATTATGCTAGGTCCCCAAATGGCTTGCAGATATCAAGCAAAACCCTAAAAGTGGACTGTGCTGCGTGGAAGGAGGTGTGGCCAGAGGACAAATTGTCTCTGGACATCCAACAGGTAGCTTCTGCTGGCATGGTTCCTCTGAGCCACCACCACAACTCAAAATTGTCTTTCCTAACTGGTACCCATGGGGGAGAGTGGTAGTGCAAATATTTGCCTCCCGCGGAAGTGAATCGAGTATATACCATTCTAGAATGGACTTCTGTCCAGTTGGGTCCTAATTTTGCTCCTATTGAAATCAATGGCAAACTCCCACTGACTTCAATAGGAGCAGGCCTTTAAATGTTTACAGTCTTGGTACATCAACTTTCTGAACAAGATGAAAATACCTTTTCAGAATGGTGTCTGACAATGTGAACATAATACCTAACATGTATTAGTGTGCACACAAGAGAATAAGTAACTCAACAGTTATGGAGTGTGTTGCATACACAGTCTGCAAAACAATAATTTTATGTATAGAGATAAAATTGAATATGCTACACCTATTGGAAATTTTGCAGATGTGCATAATTGGATACAGTATTATGCCAGACAAATTATCCACAGTAGATGTGCAAAATCAAAGGTATAAAAATTGAACTGAGAACATTATAATTTAAAACTGATTTTCATGCTTAATAAATTTAATATAGTTCTAGCCACATGAATTTAAACCTTCAGCCACTATTATGCAAGAGTGACACTTACCCTCTTCTGTTCTTTGATATATTCCATCAGTTCCTCTCTTGTTTTTTTCACAGCTTCTTCCACAGCCTTTTCACTTCGTTTTTGTTCTTCCATTATTGCTGCCTTAACAACTTCCTGTAACAGAAAAGTAAATCTGATAACTGTAAATTGTATACATGTACATTTCTATATTTCAAGTATTTTAGGGGCATAGGGAAAAGTCTCTCAGAATTCATCCCATTCTTTCTCCCAAAGAATTTGTTAGCTGACTGCACTCTTCCTACAATCAGAGTTATCTCCAATATAAATATCTATCCATATGTCTACCAATACCTTCAATATTCTAATCCCTACATTATACAAAGGAGAGAGCTAGAACTAATCTAAAGCTGCATTTGTAGAAGTAAGTTTCTCACCTGTCAGCAAAAGGAAAGTATAATGAAGCAATTTTCAAGCATTAAATTTCAACAACAGGTAGGAGTACACTGCTTCCTACTGAGGTCAATTAGGGTATGGCTACATTGCAGTTAAACACCTTCAGCTGGCCCATGTCAGCTGACTCAGGCTTGTGGGGCTCAGGCTGCAAGGCTATAAAAATGCAGTGGAGATATCTGGGCTTGGGCTGAAGTCTGGGACCCAGAACTTAGAACTAGGGATGTTCCGACACAATCATGTGTATAAGCCCCAAAATCAGGAACTAGTTTCCAAGACCTGTGGTGTCCTAGAGTATTCCAGGAGATTGCAAAGGAAGAAGAAATAGAACTGAAGTTGGGCTTGGGGGAAAATTGTATGACTCTGGATCAATTCTGATACACCACTGCAAATATACTACTGTGGATAAAGCCATGGACAGCCTTTTCAAACACATCTTTCCTTTCTAATACATCTTCTGTGTACAGGTTACAGACTTAGGCAGCAGTACATTAGCCCAAGTTTTCTCTCTCTCCACTCAAAACACACAGGCTGCATCCCAACCCAATGGAGCCAACCATAAAATTTCTAACAGTGAAACTCAGTCGGACAGGAGTTCTGGAGCACAAGGATGTACTGTACAGTAGCTTGTATATGGAGAAGAAAGAAATGCTAGCAAAAGAGTAATTTTGGATTTGCACTTTTCGACCTAATTACAAAACTATACAATAACGTTCACTAGATGTAATGCTGAACTATGTTTTAGGATTTAGAACAAACTTAATATCTAGTACTGTGCATTTGTTAAGCAACTGGCCAGACAAAGCTACAGATAAACTCACAGTATATTATCCACTGAACACAAGCGTGTTATAAAAAATTATGAACTAGGTTCAGGCAGATTTTAAGCCAGCTTCAAGCAGTGTAAGGCCTGGTATAGGGCCCTTGAAGACAGAAGTCCATCTTGAGGAGTGTGCATTGGTCAGAAGCAGCTTTACATGTCATCACAGCTCAAAAACTGGGTAGTGCACTCTGTGAAAAGGAGGTCTCGGAAGAGAGAGACACAGGACTCTCTACATGAATTAAAGATATCCTCTCCTATGTCCTTCCTGGCAAAAACCCAAAAGCAAAGGGCAACAGAAATACCACCTGTGCTCCTGTGAATTTCTACTTCAGCGCAAGGGAGCTAGTTGGAACAGGAAGGTGCAACTTGATCCCTAAGAACAGTCTTGGTGAATATGACTCTATATTTTGTATTTTATTCTAAAGAGAGCCCAGTAATGTAAGGAGCAAATTACGTCACAAACTTCTTACAGGACATCCCTTAAAAAGAGAATACAAAAATGAGTGTACTAACAAGAGAGCTGGTTGAAAATATTGCTTTTCCTCCGGAAAATTTTGGCTTTTTCGAAAGAAGAAAAAAAACCCCAAACTACTCCCCCACTTTCACCCTCCCCAAGTAAAAACAAACAAAAAACCCCCCACACCAAAATTTTTGGGTTGAAAACCAAAAATTTTGATTCAGAAATGCCACTGTAGTATCTAATGAGAGCTGTAGTTTGGGTGCCTTATTCCTTCATTCTCTTCTATGGGCTAGCCTTCCCGGCCAGATTACATCTCCCATGAAGCACCTAAATAAAAGTCTGGATTTTCAAATCTGCTAAGCACCCAGAAGCTCCCAATGAAGACAAAGAGAAATGCAAGTGCCTGCAATTTTGAAAAACAGACCACTTAATTAGGTGCCTAAATATGAATTTAGGAGCCTTTTATGCATCTATTTTTGAAAATCTTGGCTGGTCTCTCTCTCTGCACATGGACACAGACACAACAGAGTGAAAGTCAATGGGAGTTAGGCACCTAACTGCTGCTACTTCCTTTGAAAATTTTCCCCATTATAATCCATGCAGTGCATTTGAAGACAAATGTAAAGGTACAAGTGCGGAAGTTCTAAGTGGAAGCTGAGAAGTCATTTCTGTATCTTCCTATTAATGTTATTTTGAGACCTTGAAATTACCTCATTCTGTGAACTCAATTTCATATTATTGCCATATGGACATTGTCCCTTTAGCTGCTCTGTTGAAATGTATTTGCCTTGAAATTCTGCTAGCAAATAGAACAGTGAATTATTTAAAATAATCTTATGGGAGAAGAAAAAATATGAAAAAAAATGTATCCTGAGACACAGCTTCATAGTGCCCATTTATTTTCGGTTACTGGATAATGCATAGCAAGGGGCAGTGCTTGATTTTGGTAGAGAATCACAATCACTTAGTGTTGCTGAGAGCATGGATGCAAAAAACGTTAGGATAATATTTAGTTTTGTGGGGACTTCCCAAGGCTGTTGAAGTAGCTACAGTAATGCTTTCTATATAAGCATTTTAAAGTAACTTCTAAAATAATCTGAGAAATTTGTTATTTTAAAATATAAACCTGAGGAGCAAACCAATTAGTTTTTCAGACTAAAAAGTTACGAATTATTTTCTGTTACTTCTCTTGCCATTCCTACTCTGATCATGAATGACAAAGTCAGAGCATTCATGGCACCCATTCAACACAGATTCAATATGCATTGTGCAATTTGCTTGCATAAGCAAAAATAATCTAGAAGTAAAGAACACATTTGTCACTTCTATCAGAAAAGAATCACAAATAGGTAACTAATTATTTTTCAGATGAAGTTATCTATGGTTTCTGGATTCATGTCACAATGAATGTATTCACCTGGCTCTCAAATCAATTTAAGATTGCCTTGCAATTAGGCTTCATTTGTAGCTACAGACACATTTCAGCATGCCATCTACTCAGGGAAACTGACTCGGAGGATCCTAAGATCAATGACAGTTTCCCTTTTTGGTTGGCTCTATGTACAAAGAGCTAGATTCAAAGGAAAACTAACTATATTCTGTGTTTATAGTTTCAGCAAGTGCAGAAGCTCTTTACACATAGAGTTGGCTGAAAGGGAAACCGACTAGAATCACACCATTCTAGTTGTTTTCCCTTTGCAGCCGACTCACTGGAGCACTGTTTCAGTTACTGTGGCTGGCAGGACCAAATAAGTGCAATCTTAAATTACTGAGAGGTCTGCATTAATACCTCCAAGCAGCAGAGAATCTGGGAGAGACAAGCAGAGAAAGGCTGAGAGAGAAGGAACATGAGGGCAGAAACAGTGGTGGTCCTAATGGTGATTCACACATTTTCCACTGAGTGATGATAAATGCAACAGTTTAAACTTACTAACTACAACATAAAATAATTACACAAGGGCTATACTCTACCCTTGAACATGGCTATATTTTACCCTGAACATGGGAGGTCCACAGTAAACAGAGGCCTCTTATTTTGAAGACTAATTAGAAATGTAATTCTGCCTTCATCACAAAATGAGTTGGACACACCTGCAGTAATGAGTAATCTGTAGTAGACTTTTTTATTACCTCATACAAATGTAATGATAGTGAAAGGTGCTAGATTGAGTGTGCTGGAGACAAAAGTTCTCCATTTAGCCACAAAACAGGTACAGTATCACAGGAGTAGTGACAATATCCCCACACTGTCTTGTCAGTGTGTCTGAACCCTGCTCTGGAAGGATCACCTAAAGAGATGACTGGGCAATTCAGATATCTCTGCTTCTCTTCTATTAAGTATTGTAATTGGATTTAAGTATTGGAGAGATGTCTCGTCTGAATCCTCTCTCCACTGTAAAATCTCTGATACCATTCAAGGTAGAAAAATACTCATGGCACTGCTATTCAAATAGGTCCCGATACAGAAAAGTATTTTCAGCTTTTATTTTATGCTTAACTTCATCTCTACTGAGGAAAGCTCTGAGGCACATACTTAAATCCCATCTTGACTTGAATGGGCTTTAAACATGTGTTTAAGTGCTTCTCTGCATCAAGGAGATGGGAACAATGATGTGAAACCACCAATTCTGAAAGTGATACACTAGGACTCTTAAATTGATTTGCTAAACTCACGTTGTATTTTAATCGAAAGACTAGAAAACCACTGAAGAGCCTAAAGTTATTGTTTCACCACTCCTATTTTTTTATAATATAGCGTAAACGTGCTATTGCAGCTAAACTGTTTATGAGAAACAAAAATCTGAAGCAACCCACCATTTGCCTGTGGGTTATAAGACACATCTTCATTGCATATGAGAAATAAATATAACTTTATTTCTTGTCTTTATCAGATATATGGCCATTATTTCATTACAGACTAAACAATAGATCTTTCCTCCAGAAAAATAAATCTATTTTGAAATGGTATGGGTGATATACTGGAATGTTGCATCTATATCCCAAAAGTTCTGACAATCTAAGTTATTCAAAGTTAAGAAAAACTCCATCCTTCTTCTGGAAATCATTCAAGATGTAAATATTTTTTCCCTTTTCACAAATGTACAGAATTATGTTTCTAAAATTAGAATCAAATAATGCCAAAAGGAACACCACTAAATGGTGTGCCAAATATTGTCAGGCAAAAAAGAAAAAAAACAGAACACTTTATTGTAGTACTTAAAATGTATTCATTTAAAGCATACTGGTCATCCGTATACGAATGAAGACAAAAGAATCAATATAAGGAGAGAGAATCCAATTCTAAAGCTTTTTGTGAGCTCTATTCATGGCCACCTCTAAACATTTGCTTGCTTTGTTTGACTATAAATTTAAGCAAGCGTTTTGTAATGCTATTAACATTTTTCAGCTATACAGTGATCT